AGAAATAGCTTACTAATACCTACAAGGTAACACAGAAAGAGTGCAATGTCAGGCAGCAATTAAACATCTTCTAGTCCCAGTTTGTCCGGGACTAACTCTGTGATGAGGGCATTTATCCAACCTTTTTGGGGCTTAATTAAGAAGATACCTATTCTACCTATCTGAGCTGTTATAATAACCTAATTTTTTAAGAGATGATGTGAAAACACTCAGAAAAACAATTACTCCTGGGGCACCTGGCTGGCTCATTCAGTTGAGCATGTGACTTTTGATCTCAGGGTTGTGAGTTTGAGCCCCATGTTGGGGACAGAGATTACTTTTAAAAATTAAATCTTAAAAATAATAATAATAATTACTCCTTTCATTCTATTTAAATACATTGAACATCTGCTCTATACTAAGCATTATGCTAGGCATGGAATTTACAGTTTGTGGAGAAAACAGAAACTAAATCATTGCAATTGTAATGAGTATCATGAAAGAGAAATATCAGGAGCAAGGAAAGCATAAATCAAGAGACTTAACTTACTGACAGGGTTCAAGGAAGGTTTCCCTGAGGAATCAACATCTAAACAGAGCCATAAAGAATGAGTAGAAATTAATTAGACAAAGAAGTACAAGAAAAGGTTCTAGTCAGAGGAGCAAAAGCCATGAGAAAACATTGAAATGTGAAGAGGAGTTATGAAATACTTAAATAACTTTTCAAAAACATTAAATTGTCGCATTTTCTCCCTCTCTCACTCCCCTTGCTTGTGTTCCTTCTCTTGCTGTGTCTCTTTCTGTCAAATAAATAAATAAAATCTTAAAAAAAAATAACCCACACAAACTTGCCATTTCTAAGCCCCACTCTTACAGGGTCATCCATAGCTTAGATTTTTCTTTTTTAATCATCCAGTTTTTCCTAAGAAAACAAGGACATCCTAGCCCTGGCCATATTATTTTCTACTTATGTACCAATGCTTAGGTAACAAAAGAGATAAATGTCCATGTAGGAACAAGGGTTTGGAACACAGAATAAAATTTTGAATGATCTTGTTTTTAGGACATATTATTAGGTGCATACAAGTTCAGAATTTTTATAGTTCCCTCAAATGTTTTCTACTTAAGCATATGTAAAACAAGCAAAACACAAAAACCACTATCCCTATCTTTTAAGAAAAAATCAGTGCTTTAATTATCAGGCATTCAAAAGTCCAAGACTCCTTTTATATTCATGAAATTTAAATAGCATGATTGGTTAAGTTTTTTTGAAGTTGCTCTACTAATTATCTTTTCAGTTTCAATATCCTTTGGAACAGTGGGTTTTGTAAGAAAATCATGGTACTTGTACCTACCAGGCTATGTTTTAAACATAAATGCTTATCACAGACTTTTCCTTCTCAGCAAACTGAGGTGCTAAATCATTAATCTGAACACTTTCACCCTGCCCCAAACATGTGTAACTTAAGATCATTATTATTTTCTTGAAATGTAAACTCATTAAATTGCCTAAATTTGCAAATTAGCTTCACAGAGATGCATATTAAAGTGTTAGCAATTTTCTCTATTCTTACTCTTCTGAAAATGTGTATAACTAGTGATTAGCCATGTTTATTGTTCTGCTATAGGTTATATGTTAAATATTACAAAGTATTAATTTAAACTCTATCCCAATTTTTCTCACATAAATAGCTGTTTCAGAAAGTTCATTTTATGAAACTGAGCAATTTAAAAATAAGTTTTTATATTAGCTTAGTATAAAAGACTTTCTAAACAACCCAAGTAAGAGAGCCTGATAGTCCAATATGCCACAAAACATATTACTTACATTTTATAACTAAACAATCACCGCCATTTGCTGAAATTCTACAACTGGTAGAAGTAATAATGTATTATCTCTACTATTAACAATGTGTTACATGTGTTACTGATTATTCAAAGAGGGGAAGTATCAAAATTCATTTTTAAATAGCTGCAAGATGTACTGGTTCAAACGTACAGGGTTGGAAGGTGCATAAAGAGATTTTATAACAAACATTAAACTTTTTAATGTTTTCCTGTATGTATTTGATTTAGAAGGAATAAAATCTCAGTAAGAAAAAAACAACTCTAGGTTATAGACACATTGTACACCGTTCTTTCTAGTAACAGTTTTGGCTAGAAATCAAACTTATTTTTGTCCAAATACTCTGAAGAAGATATCTTGCAACACTTTGTTTGCTTTAGTAATTACTTTGGGCATATGTAACAAAGCAAATATTCTTATTAGCACATCAAAAATACAATGAAAAAGATCAGAGATATAAAATGAAATAAAACTCCATTGATAATTTTCACCTTTAAGGTTCCTTTCACAGTGAATGACTTAAAAAAATTCTTAACAAGTGAATTACTGATTTATCATGGTGCCTATATAGAAAATGTTTTTACCTTATCTTGGATCCATGATACATATTTATTTAAGCAGTTCATTAGGGGAGAAAAGTGAGAAAACAAAACAAAACCTTCCCAGGTATGCAGAGAGTATGTCAAAGTCAGGAATAAAATGCAGTGGTATTTTATGCTATCAAAATGAAGTCACCTGGCTGAAAAAAAAACTTGATCATAATACATAAGTGATGCATACGTATTGTGGCTCATTCAAAAGTATTTTTAAATCCATGTTGATTTTTTTTAAAAGAACAAACCATTTCAATAGTTTATAGGCTATTAAGGTTTCATAACAAAGCTTACAGATTATTTTAATTAAAAGAATAAATATACTGGAATATTCATTAGCTGTATCTATTTAAAATTATTAAAGGAGTGCTTAAACTGAATCTAGATAACATGAATTATGTTAAAATAAGTTCCTCAAGAAAAGAAAAATTTAGCATTCCATCAACATTGGTCAAGTGCAGACAACTTCAAAACATTGTTATATTCCTTTTGTGTTCCATTCCTTCATAAGCCAGACCATAAGTGGAAATAGGTGGCTATTTAAGATGTCATATGTAGGTCCCTTATATTTTGGTGATCACTTAGCCTAATGGTGTGGATTGATTAAATTCCATAGTACATTCTATATTGTACACTTATAGGAAGAGATAAACTGCCACTACTATATTAAAATGTGATATTCTGTATCTTGTTACTAATACCCCTATATTACAGTATCAAATTTTTTAAATAATTTCATTTTCCCTTTTAAAAAAATGTTTAGCTGTTTACCTATAGTTCAGAAATTAGATATTTGTAAATAGTAAGTGTCCATTCACAAAAGCCATTGACAAGTAGGACTGAGAGTGGGGAAGAACTAAAAATTAAGTGCATTTTTAAAATGTACTATGATCTAATAAATTTATATTTGTCAGTATATATGAAACACTGTGTCCAACACTGTTCTGGGTACTTTGGGGAGTATACATCCATGCACATAAGCACACACACACATGCAGAAGAAAGAAAATTAATCCATATGAAACAACTACAGAACAAAAGATGATCAACTTGAGATTTCCAAAAGGAGAATATATTAGTTGTTGTCCAGGGCTAGGGACAAGAGGAAGGTAGGTGTAGTTATAAAAGGACAATAAAAGTGATCCCTGCAGTAATGAAAGTGTTGTGTATCTTGACTATAGTGATAATGGATACACACAGGATAAAACTGTATAGAACTAAACACACACACACACACAAGTAAGTACAAGCAAAACTGGGAAATCCTGAATAAAATGGATGGATTTTTATCAGTTTCAATATCCTGGTTGTGATATCATGCCACAGTTTTGAGGTACAGGGGATCTCTGTATTATTTCTTACAACTCATGTAAATCTACAATTATCTCAAAATAAAAAGTTTTAAAACATGATTATCAAATACACTTTCTATAAATACACCCCCTCCAAAGAAATATACAAGGAATAAACACCAAAATCTCTCTCAGTGACAGAAAAAAATTGTCATTTAGGTGCAATAGTAATTCTCCTCAAAGAAACCAGAGTAAACATTATTTCTAAACATTCTTGCCCTGTCAACATGTCCTTAAATTTCTTTTAATTCTGTGTTAATTTGAATGAGTTTTAAAGATTACAAACTATAAACTGAACATTTCTTATGACACAGTAGTGATAAAATGCTACGTTACTTTGAGTTCAGATGGGAGTGGAATCATCCTTAATCCACCATTATCTTCTCCATCTGTTTATGTTAATTGATAAGCAAATCACACACTCTCTCTTCCTCTTTCTAGAGTATGCATGATTTCGGACTGAGGAGGGGGTGGAATGACAGCGCCGTAAGGACTTCTCAAAGCTAGCACTTTACCTACTTTGAATGTCTTAGAAATTATTCAAGCAAATCTTTGCCCTTTCACTAATGCAAGGCAAGAAATAATGTGTCAACCGCTCTGGAATTCCTTTGGTGTGAGGAAGTCGAAGGTGATCAAAGGCAGGGTGACAAGCAACGGCACCCGGATAAAATGGGTCTGATTAAGGTAGATTCCCATTCACGTAAAATGACTTCCAGGCGATTCTTCTGGCCTTCACTTTCAACTTAACACTTGGCCTGGTTGCGATAAAGATGGAAATAGGGACGTAGGGCCCCTCTCACACCAATCTGGAAGCTTCACGCTCTTGGCCTCACACCCAAAAAGACCAGCTAAAGAGAACGAATGCTTCTACTGTCTCCGCGGTGGATTGGAAGAACTTAGGGACGCCGTCCTGTCTCCACCCTGCCCTTCTCCAAAAGCTCAGCTGGCAGGGGAGCGGGGAGACAGGGAGCCGGGGTAAGGCCGAGGCTGAGGCAGGGGACCGGGGACGCGGGACTAAGCAAGGCCAGGGACCCTGGCCGACGAGGGGCCAGGGATCACGGGGTGAGGGGGAAGGAGGTAAGGGGCGACAGAGGGCTGAGCACCGGGGTGACTAGAAACTCGAGGTGCAAGACGAGGCAGGGGCCCCAAGTGACACAGGGCCGGGGGTGCGGAGCGACCCGCCAAGCGGGGCGAGGGGCGCTGAGCGACGCGGGGTCTGTGCGGGCTCACCCGCGTTCTGCAGCGTCTCGATGTTTTGGGGTCTGGTCGCCAGCTCCGCCACCATCTGCACGAACTGGGTCCGGGCTTTCTGGTACTGCTCGAACACTGCGGAGGAGAAACACGGTGGAGCAGGCCGCCCCGGTGCCCCCGCGGCTCCCGTCGCCAGCCCGTCGGGGCGCCGCCGGCCCCGGGCCTTACCTTGCAACACCTGCCTCTGACTCATGGCGCCGGCAGCTCTCGGCCCGCGACCAGCTTGGCGCCGACGCGGCCCGGCCGCTCCCGGCCTGCGAGAACGCCGAGGGGGCGACCGCGGCGACGACTCGGCCACCGACGGGAGCCGTTTCTCTCTGTGTACCCGCGTCTCCCGGGCAACCGACCGGAACCGGAACGCGACCGTCTCGCGGCAACGGCCAGTCCCGGGCGTGACGTCACGGCCGCGGCACCGGGCGCGGGGCGAAGGCAGCCAGCCCCGGGGAAGCTCCGCCTGCAGGGGCTCCCGAGACGTGTCACACTCGCCAAGCCGCCGCGGGAATCGTGCGCCGTCGATGTCACGATCCTGCCGCGGGTACAGGGCGTCCGCCCAGGAGCCTAGGGTTCTTTGCAAACCGAACCGCACCCGCGAAGTTTCCTGACTGCGCCGCGGACTCGGTCCCGACGAGGGGGAGCCAGTTAAAGCGCGGCGAGGCTAGTAAACTACGTCAGTGGCGCCGTCTTTGGCTTAGACGGTCAAGAGACATCTCACATATGACATTGTGTAATCTGATATATACGTTGTCAATGCAACCTTAACGCCGAATGGTTTTCCCCTTTAATCCAGCTTTCATGTGCCTGACATTTCTGGTTTCAGGATTCCTGGAGGGTCAAGACAACGATGTTCATAACTTAAGCATACTGCTTTAAAAGTATTTAATAAACACTCCTAGAGATTCAATGAGAAAAGTGGACGGGGAACAATATGATAAATGTCCTGTCTTCCGTGACTTTCTCCTACCTAACTACCAACTTTGCTGTTTCCTCACTTTTGTGATTTTTAAACAGTTGTCTTTGTCTTTTAAACTTAAGCTTCATTTTGTTGCTAAATGACATTTCCAAAAGAAAGGGAGAGAGAATCTTTACCTGGAAAGTTTTGATTCACATTATCTTAACCAGACTTCCCTAGCTTGTATAAGTTTAAATTTTTACCCAGAGTCTTTTAACAGAAATTAAGTACTTAGTCTATCACTGGTTTCTAGCTTGCCTGAAAACTGTATACGAAATGTTTCAATGACAGGTGTCAACTTTAAATGTTTCTCCATCAGAAACTACAATTTCACCAGGTGTCAAGTGAATAGATAGCCACAGCCGCTGCTGAGTAGTGTCAAGACAGGAAAGAAACCTCTTGATAGCTCTTCAATAGAAGGGAGTATGCAAACTTAGCTGGTTCTCATATTTGGGGTGAGTCCTATATAATAATCTTTTAGCTCTCCCTCTGACTTGAGCCCTCTGATGAAGTCCTGATATTTTGTGGAGCCCCAGATAGTTGGGGAATGGACCAGCAATAAAAGAGAGGAGTAAGTGTGTTCAGTCAGGTTCCCTGTTACCCCCGGAACAGGTGCATGTCTTTTGCTCCGCAGTTCAGAAGCCAGTAATACTCACAATTCCTTTACCTAACTCCAAAGTCATAAGTTTCACAATGATCTCCACATTTCTCTAAGGAAACAGGTCTTTTAAAATTGAAGTTTTTTATGTTCCCATTTAGAGACGCCGGGGAAAACAGATTGGGCAAATAATTAAAGTGGCAAATAAAACCTTCATTGTAATTTTGTTTTCAGTTCCTTGTTGCATTATGAAAAAAAAATCCCCTTAAAACTAAGAGGTTCCATATTTGGTTTCAGTCCTTAAACAATTCAAACTCCTAAGCTACCACAGCTGTCATTTTTAGTAATTGCTTTACTATGATTTTCTACTTTAAAAGTGTTGAGATAGGAGCTTGATAGTGAAAAAGATGTCTAAACCTATAAACATACTACTTATACAAGTCTACTTATGGAATGCTACAAAGTTTAAAAACTTAAGTTCAAATGGTATAGAAACTATTTTAAACTATAGACTCTGAATATGTATCATTAACAAGGTCTGAGGGTTAAATTGTATTTGTTCCTTATAAAACATAATATAGGAGTCCTTTATATCTGAAATTGGACACATTAAAGAAGCTAGATCTTTGCTCTTTATTCTAGCTTTTTTGGGGAAAAAAAGTCTTTAAAATTAAATAGAGAAATGCAACAGAATGATTATAATATACATATAAGTGAATTATCTTATCAGCAATTCAAATATAAAATATGGCAGATTACTTTTACTGACAAGAAAGCCAATCTATATTTTCTGACCCACTTTTCAACTTACTAACTTCAAAATAAAATACCATTCTGTTTTACAAAGCTAATTGAATGCCCCATGATCACATATACAACTGTAACAGTTAAGTAGTGAGAAAGAAAACTGTTCAAAGGGATATTTCAGGGTTTTCTTTTAAGGTGCCATTTAAGATTACTGTTCTTAAAGTACCAGCTAACTTTAAATACAGATATGCAATTTACTTGACCTATTAAACTATACATTTGATTGAGGATGAAACATATTATCTGAACAAATTGCAAATGTGTTTCTATGAAAGATTTGTTTGGAAGGCTTTGGCTCCTTTTGTAAAAAGGTAATCATGTGTAACTTCAAAATCACTTTTGCATTTGATTTTTTACTTATGAAAATTAGACTTTTAAAAGACACCATTATAAAGCCAGTTTAAATATCCTGTTCTACTTCTCTAAAAATCTGGTTTGGGAATTCAGAAAAATCTCATTATCATGGGAATATATTTTACATATGCCAAAAAGAAATTTTGCTAATTTTACCATACATGTATTTTTTTTCTTCAGCTCCTAGCTGAATTTTAAAAGTTAAGGCTTTATATGTGCTGATTAGATATTAACATCCACATTTTAAAAATTGTTGAGGTGAATCAAGTGTATATATGTTCCTCTATCAAGCCAAACACATATTAAGTATCAAAGTATGCCAGACACTTTGCTAATAACAGAATGTGCCTGTCTTCTAGCACATGAAATCTAGTGGGAGAAAGACACGTAAACAAAGTACTAATTCATTCAACAAGTATACACTGCAGCCTGCCCGTGTTTTAAGAGCTGTCATTGCTCTAAGCCATATAAGTGCTTTGGAAGCAAAGACAAGGGACTTAGGGTAACCAAGGTGAAGAAAATGAGAATATCTACATCACTTAAATAATAAAAGGCTTCTTGTTTTTGAGAGAAATTAGCTGGGTTTTATCTAGATATGAAATCTCCTTCCTTCCTCCCCCAAAGAATTAAAACATAGTATTAGCATTTAAATAGGCATTCATTTGGCAATTGCATGTAATTATTATTTAAGTTATAGAATACAATAATCACTTTGCCAAAAACAAATCTAAAATTATTGAAACAACTCCATATTTGCATGCTTGAATTAAAAAAAAAAAAACACTACACACTCCATAACCAAATTAGTGGACTCAAAATATTATCTATAATGATGAAAGCAAACATATGACTCTTAAATGTTGCTTTGGCACTCTTTTGGGGAGAAGCATCAGGATTTTGCATTTAGGTCTCAGCAGACCATCCATTTGTGCCACCAGGTTTGTCAGCTGCAGAAGAGACTCGGACACTCCTATCCAGGAGAGGAAGATTAACATTTCTATGCTTGGGTTGTATTTGTCTTATGTCCTATTCTTTGCTTTTCAAGCCTTTTAAAGTCCATTCTTTACATTTTAAACTTTAAAGTGTTTACGTTTTAGTGTTAAGGTCAGTAAAATGTTAAGATGACAGTGATTGAACTGGCCCAAAGTTCTAAGGATATACCGTACATGTCTTTCTTTTCCAGTAATTCAATGGATGCAGAGATTGAACTCATCTTTTCCACTCTCAAAGTAAACCATGATTAGGAGGATTCCATACACGAATAATTTCGCTTCCAAAAGCACCGTATAGCACAAAGTGATTGATACTAAAAATGGATGCTTTTAACGTAGAAGTCTGAAATAGGCACTGGGACATGCATAAAAAACCAAATTATTGCTGCTTGGTGTGTGTGAGTGTGTGTGTGTGTGTGTGTGTGTGTGTGTGCGCGCGCGCGCGCGCGCGTGTGATGTGAATATCTTTTTAAGGAAGTGAGTTTTCCTTAAAAATTGTACCCAAACCCCGCATCACCAGATAGAAAACTCCAAGCGCCCTGACATAGATGTCTGTCAGCCACTCCCTCTCAACACTACCCATTCCCCCCACCTCTTTCAAATCTTGGTGTTGCTGGACTTGTCTCAGGGAAGGCAGATACTGTCCTATCCCCACCTTTTTATTAGTGCAGGATACAGGAGACAAAAATGGAAAGTGTCACATAGGAAACGAACCCTGGAGCCCACCCCGCCTGCATCAGGTCCAAGACCTGGGAGGACTCGGCCCCTGCGCCCCTCAGGTGCGGGTCCAGCCACAGCTACGCCGCGGCTCCGACAGTCAGGAGCTGAAGGTTCTTGGCCCGCAACGCAAAACTGGACACAGGCGGGTCTCCGCGCGGTGTGGACGCGGGGTTCCCCGCTCGACGGCGCTGGCCCCGAAAGGCAACTGTGTTCAGTGTTGATGGGGGTGTTAGGGCCCCAGGGGAAGAGAAGAATGCAGTACTCCGGGACGTTCTCGGCTTTTCCTTTAGTCTAAAATTTCTCTAACTCCAAAGAGCACCTCTGTTCAGTTTCTAACGAGGGAGGGGGCGCCGGGAATCGGTTGGGGCTGGGGTCAGGCTGTGGTTTGGATCAGAAGCCCTCGAGTGCCCCGCCGTCAATCGCTGAGCTAGGCAGAAAAGGGGGCGCAGGGAAATCAGGGTCGGGGGTGGAAGCAGGAGGAAGAGGCGGGGGCGCCCCGCCCGAGGGCGCGAGTGCGGAAGCGCAGCGCAGGCTCGGCCCGGCTGCTTCCCTCCCGCGGGGCCTCCCGGGACCAGCTACGCGCTCGGCCGCTGCGATGCCCAGGGGTGCGAGCGAGATGGGGGGGGGGCGGTCCCACTCTGCGTGCATCCTCACAGCTCCGCGGGCCGCGGGCCTGGGTATCTTGAGGGAAGGGTCCCGCAGAGCCGGCGTCTGCTCGGGGGCGGGTTGCAGGAAAAAGAAGGCCTCTATCCTTTCGTTTTGCTTCCCCGGGCCAGGCTTCCAGCAAAAACCGCACCGCCACGCGGGCTCTCACGGAGAGGGCCCGGCCGACCTCCCGGCGGCGCGGCTGACCCGTGGGCCCAGGAATGGTGTGGCCAACTCTCAGGGGCCAGCCCGGAGCG